GATCTCCAGGGCAGGGCAAATAGTGTTAGCCAGGTTGATGTAGTCTCAGATATGGCACCCACCTGTTGGCTCTGTGGTTCTGTGGTCTGTGCAAGGAGGGTTCAGAAAATGAACAACGGCCTCTGCCTGCTTTTCTGTTTGGAAGAAAGCTGTCCCCCAGCTCTTATCTTGATGCCAGACAATTCAGTTCCTTCCTGTATGCCACTGGTGCCTTTCAAGCTGCTACCCCACTCCCGGTGCTGGAGCTCAGAGGGTATGAATCTGAGTAGGTGGGTCTGTGTGTGGGTTCTTTAAGAGGAACTGCTTGGGACTCCAGAAGTTTCTTGCACTGACTCAATCCTCACTGTTTTTTTGCAGCCAGAAGTTATGGGGACTTATCTTCATGTCACTGGGAACCTGGGCCAGGGGGCCTGGTGTGCAACCAGGACTCCTCACTCCTGAGATATCCTTCCCAAACTTTTATCCACCACACATGTGGATGGGACCAGCCTGTTCCACATCTCTGCCTCTCCTACCAGTCTGGATGGGTATGGTTTCTTTAAGTCCATAGTAGTCAGACTTCCATTCAACTTTATTTCTGATGGTTCTGAGTGATGGTTGTTCTATAATATAGTTGTAATTTTGATATGGTTGTGTGAGGAGGCAAGCCGCGTTTACCTATGCCACCATCTTGACTGGAAGTCCAGTAGGCCTTGTGTTTGAACATTGGGGCCTGGTGGAACCCTTGTCTCACTCTCTGGGAGCTGGCACTCTATTCTTCATTCAACCAACTGGTTGCAAGACTTCTCTGATCCCAGCCCTTGATGAGCGAAATATGTTTATCTTGGAGTGTGGCTTTGTTACATAGGTCTTTCAGGGCTCCTTGTCTAGTAAAACTTCCCATAGCACAGCCTGTAGTGGCAAGCTCATCTGGAAAGCACTTGGACCTAGGTCATTCACCTTGGTCTTGGCAATTTATACCCTGCTGCACATCATGGGCCAAGTTTTCTCTGACAGTAAGAAATGCCGTGATGTGCCAGGGGATTCAACACTTTAGGCTGACCCTTCATCATGCTGAGCAGGTGGTGGGGCCTGGTTTAGTGCTCCCCAGTGCCTACTTTTGCATGGGCTCTGCTTAGTACATCACAGGTATTAACTCCTATGCTCCAGATTTTGGGGGGCCTAGTGAGTGGAAATAATCCTCTGCCATGGACTCCAAGCATTCTATGACTCCACTAGCAAGTCGTTGCACTAGTTCTAAGATGCTAGCTTTGCTCTCCTGCAGATGGAGCTGGGAAAGGTAGCCTGATGTAAATTTTAGGAGACCGGTTGAGAGTGAGGAGATAACAGATCCTGTGAGGTCTTCATTCAACTTCCAAATTTTCCTTGGCCTCATTCTTCCCACCTATGAAATGGTGATGATATATAAATTGTAAGGACTGGGAATAGGCTCTGTAAAAAAGGACTGGACACATTTTTTAGGGGGGGGAGGCAATGGTGGTGGCCAGAGGCAGATGGAGGTGAGATCATCAAAAGACATGGGTAGGATTCAAGGAAAAGTTCTCTCCTTGAGTAAAACATGCATTTCACTTTCCAGGGTGTCCTGATGGAAAAGGGTTTTACTAAAATAACCCCAGCCAAACTCCTTAGTTATTTTTTTTTTCTAGAAGCAGAATTAAGTTTTTTCTCCAGAGGACATATTTTACTTATTTGTATTTTTAGGGGGGAAAAAACACACCACACCCCACATTATAAAGAAGCCAGTGTTTCTATCTCTCTTGTTCTTAAGCATGAGTTTTATTGAGTGTATAGTGAAACTTATTTCTATTTACTCACAACTTAAATTTTAATATGCCAAGTTGTGCAAACATCAGCTTTAGAAAGTACCAGTTGGTGTTTTAAGCATGGCTGTTTCCATCCCACCCCACTGTCAGCCACCCAATGGAGGATTGTGGTCGGGGGGGGGTGTCAGGTTTTTGTGAGTCAGTAAAGCAAATTGAGGGTGTTGCCAAACTGACTTTGGGTGTTCACATTCCATATCATTGGGTTTATGGAGCTGAGGTTTAAAACAATACGGTGAAGAAAACACTAGACTGGGAGTTAAGAACACTAAATTTTCTAATCCTATCACTGATCCAGTGATTTGGAAGCAAGTCACTTCCCATCCTTAGATTTTAGTTTTCTCAACTAAAATGAAAAGACCAGACTGAAGTTCTTTCCATCTGAGAATCATTTTCTGATTTGCAAAGGAATAAGGGAGGCACTACTTGCAGTTGCCTGACGTGCCATTTCATTCCCATGGCAACGGCTCTGTTTGGGCTTCACTGGCCTCTAGATATTTAGCAGCTGCTGCAGGTAGGAAGTTTCAGGACTTTGTAGAGGGGCCAAAGTTCTGGTTAATTTCTTTCTTTCTCTTACAGTTTCTGAGTTTATTTCAATCTCTACCTCGGTGAGCTCACAGTAAATGTGGGTAGAATGTAGAATTCAGCAGGAAAAAAGAGGTATGAGAGCTTTAGTTTATTTTTAAAAAAACACTAATATATAAATGAGATTAGGTAGGCATTTTGTCCTATGTCAAATCTCATTTATGAATGGTTCTTGTCTGAGTTATTGCGCAACTTGTTACATAGGCTGTTAATGTGAGAGTATAAAACTGGTGACCGGGTAGGCAGAAAATAAGCTATAGACCCCACTAGGTATATGTATGACTTCTGAAAAGTCCCTTCCCTCTCCAGGACACAGTTTACTCATCTGTACAAGGAGGAGTTTAGACTACTGTTATGGGCTGAATTGTGTCCCTCCCCCCAATTCCCATGTTGAACTTCTAACCCACAATACCTCAGAATGTGACCTTATTTAGAAATAAGGTTGTTGTAAATGTAATTAGATAAGATGATGTCATGTTGGAGTAAGGTAAGCTTCTAATCCAATATGACTGGTATCTTATGAAATGGAGAAATATGGATACAGGAAGAAAGCCATGGAACAAGAAATGCAGAGATCAGGGAGATGCTTCTACTAATCAATGTTCACCAAAGAATGCCAACAAACCGCCAGAAGCTAGGTGAAAGGCACTGAAGAGATTCTCCCTTACCATCCTCAGAAGGAATGAACTCTGCCAACACCTTGATCTCAGACTTCTAGCCTCCAGAATTTGTCTGACAATACATTTCTGTCATTTAAGCTATTCAGTTTACAGTAGTTTTTTTAAGGTAGAAAGCTAATACAACTACATCAGCGGTTCCCAACCTTGCTCTATAAATAATTATTTTGCTGTTTTTCTCCTTGTGAACCCAATTCATTTATCTAACAAATATTTATTTAGTGCCCACTGTATATCAGGCCCTTATTCTAAGCATCAGAGATACACAAGTCACAAAGCAAAGATCCCTCCTCTTGTGTTCATTCTATATTTTAATATCTTTAGTCAGCCAAGTATACAATGGTTTAGTAATAATATGTATATTTTCTCATGCAATAACTCAGATTAACTCATCAATGTGATATAATCACGTGCCAGAAACTAAAGAAAGGTAATGTCTTAAGTGGCTGTTGATTTCTTATAGTAAGTAACATCCAATATATCCAATAAATACATTCATTAGGTTTTTAAAAAAATATTGAAAAGTGTTCTCAGAACCTCCATTATTATATCTATGGTCCCTAAGGGTTCATTACAGAGTGATTAGCTAGAGCAGGGGTCAGAAACTTTTGCTGTCAAGGGCCAGATAGTGAACATTTTAGGTTTTGTGTACCATAGTCTCTGTTACAACTACCCAACACTGTCGCTGTTGGAGTGAGAAAGCAGCCGTAGACAATACAAACAAATGAGTATGACTGAGTTCCAATAAAATTTTATTTATGGACAGTGAAATTTGAACTTCATATAATTTTGACATGTGACAATATATTATTTTTCTTTCAATTAAAAAACATTTTAAATGGAAAAAAATCCTTAACTCATGAGCTATAGAAGAACAGGTGGTACGCAGGCTGGCTGCTCATATTTGGCAACTGGCCAGTTTGCCAACCCCAGAGCTAAAGTCTCTCTTATTCTGCTCTAGTTGTAGCATTAGGTGGTTTCTATCCCCCTAAGGGTCTAGATGAGGCCCAGAGAGTTTGAACTCAAAGGCATACTACCTGCTGCCCACTCCAGAGTTCTTAATAAGGCTCTAAGCTGCTGGCTTAGTCATGATTTCAGATGTGGTTGACGTCTGTGTCCATGTGTTGCAAAAAATAGATGTGTGGTCAGTGGCTCTTTCCAGGAGTTGACCATGTAAGGGCTGTCTTCTTATTAGCAGCCAGTGATAGCCTAATTTTGTCAAGCCTGACCCTATGCTTACGCACCCTTTTATACCTCTCCTGTGTTGCGCAGGCCCAGGAGGACCACTTGTCCCTTACTATTTGAATCCCTGTTGTGTCACTGGCGGCTTTCGGAGCAGCTGCAAAAGGATTTTAACTTTAAGTGGTATTTGGGGTCACCGGGGTGGAGTCTGGAACAGTTACTCTCAGCAAGGGGTCTTTCAGCCCTGACATTCTCTAGCTTTACGGGCTCTGGTGAGTGTTAAACTAACTCCTTCCAGCTTACCGCGGCTGGACTTTCACTGTGGGTAATAATTAATGAGGCATTTGCTCAAGGGCTGGGGAATAATGTGCAGTGCTTTTTTTCTGTTGTCGTCGGAAACTGCTTGGTTGCCTAGCACCACAGTGGCCTGCCTGATCGTCCTTTCCGCTCAGCTGCTCCCGTCTCCTCCCAACTGCAGCTTTGCGACAGGGGCTGAGACCCGGACGGGAGGAGTTCGCTTGCTCTCAGGGGCCGGCGGCAACAGTGCCGCCTGCCCCGAAGAAACATGCTGCGAGGCAAGTCCCGGCTCAACGTGGAGTGGCTGGGCTACTCGCCCGGGTTGCTCCTTGACCACAGGCCGCCCCCAGCAGGGCGCATGCCGCGGAGCCCCGGCCGGTAAGCCACGTGAGCGCCTGCGCCCGCCGCAACGAGCGTCACTGCTGTGCGCCGCGCCTGCGTGCTGCGTCCGGCCGCTCGCCGGCACTTCCGAGGAGGCTTTCCAGAACCAGTCGCTCGCCGAGCCAATTGAGGGTGGCTGCGGAGCGCAGTCCGCCTGCGAGGACCTGTGGCAGGTGGCCAAGCAATGGAGCGCCTTGATAAAGCGGCGCTGAACGCGCTGCAGACGTCTGACGTCAGGTAGTCCAGAGCCGGCTCGGGCCGGGCAGTGTCCCCGACCACGAGGCGGGCCGGCCCGGGCCTGGATCTGGGCGAGTCGAACGGGCAGACCTGCGGTGGGTGTGAGGCCCGGCTGCGTGGTAGGGGAGCGGGAGAGCAGGTCAGGGCCTGCAGCGTCTGCATGCCTGGCTCCGGCCCTTCGCTCGGAAACAGTGGACCCGGGGTCACGGGAGGATAGGCCGGCGGGCCGACAGCTCATGCTGCTTTATTAGTACTTTCTCTCGCTGTCGTCTATATTGCGATTTTGCTGTCCACAGTCTTTTTCCCAACTGCAGGGTCAGCTCCCCGAGGACAGGAGCTTGGCCTTCTCCATCTTCGTGTCTCATACAGGGCCTGCACCATCGGGGCTTAATAAGTGTTACATGAACGAATGAATGAATGAAAGGGAGAAGGGGCTGTCTCTGGTGTGAGACTGCTTCCCTTGGGGAGTCAATAGGATGGGGGCTGGTGGCTGAGCAGAAGGAACCAGAGGGAGCAGGTGGTTCTGCCCGAATAGGTCAGCCAACCTCGGTAAGCAGGAAGTTGGGAAGGAATTTAGCTACCACTCAGTGATGACCTACTGTGTGCCCGACTCAATTTAGGCACTTAATTACAAACGTTGTCAGAATTAAGAAAGGCTTGGTTTCCTGATTTTAAGGAAGATGAAGTTGACTCAGGGTAAGTGACTTGCCCAATACCACAGGCCACACAATTAGTAAGTGTTGAAGCTGGCATTTCACCAAGCCCACTAACTACAAATCCCATGATCTTTGGAGCTTGTTTTCTTTTTCCCCTCTCACAGTGTCAGTGTAGGTGTTTTTTTTAAATTACTGTTTACTATCAAGGATACCAACAGGTATTTTCATTAAGTATACTTAAAATACAGTCTAGCCCTCCTAGACTGATTTTCATGTTTCCTAATGGAATTTGCAGTGAAATCTACTTGGAAGAGAAGTCTTGCTTGCCAGGAAAGGGGATGCGGTAAGCTCTATTATCTGCTCAGTGTTCGCTGCAGAAGTTTATATGAAGGGGGTAAACTCTAAGTGGTTTTAAGAGTGGGACACAATAAGGTTCATCCTGAACTATTTCTTTTGTGTGAGACCAACTTTAATTCTGGACTTTCACATTGTTCTTCTTTTCTAACAAGTCTCAGTAACACCCAATCAAAGACACATCTTTTTTTAGTATCAATTTTGCATATGTTTTGTATTTTAAAGACTATTAGTAATATGTGTATAAATAATTTATTTAAAATATCAAAATACTTATATGGGGTATGTGCTCAAAATTTAAGGATGGATTGCACAGTCAAAAAAGTATGTAGACACTTGGAATAAATGTGAGATGTTCCCTCCCTTTAGGGGCTGACAGAAACCTTCCTGCTAATTGTATAAACAGTTATGAGAATTGCTTTGCCTGGGTTTTCTAGGGATACAGAGCGATGTGCAGCACTATCTAGGAAGCAAGCTGTCATGAAGTACTGTACTAAGAGGTATGAACAAAGTGTGATTGGATCCTAGAGCAATGACACTTACTGGAGTGTAATCAGGAAAGGTGCCTGGAAGAGAGGGCTATTTTAGGGCAACTTTGAGGGCTAGGATGTCTCTTTCCTAAAGAAACAGATAAAAACTGGAGCCTCTAGCTGAGAATTGCCAGAAAGAGAATTAAATTCGAGTGTTGACTATGAGCATAAAGTTAGAAGAAGTGTGTTAAATAGTCTGAGAATGGTTAGATTTATAAGGAAAAAAGTAACTTTAATGATTAAAGCTATAAGGTTCATTTTTTAAATAATGTATCAGGTTGAGTGTATGAGGTGTGTGTGTGTTCAGGGTTGCTGGAAGATTACTACAGCTTCACTTTCAGTAGTGTTGTTCATTTGTAAGAATGCATATGACAAATGCTGACACTAAAAAGTCAGTAAAAGATCCCTGGTCAGTTGGTTGAGCGTTGTCCATCCTGCAAACTGAAAGGTCGCCAGTTTGATTCCCTGTCAGGGCACATGCATGGGTTGTGGGTGACCAAGCGTCTCCTGTCAGGCGTGCAGGAGACAACCAGTTGATGTTTCCCTCCCTCTCTTTCTCTCTCCCTTTCCCTCTCTCTAGAATCAATTTAAAAAGAGAAAGAAAGTCAGTAAAAGTATCAGGGCTTGGCAAAATTTTTCTGTAAAGGGCCAGATAGTAATCTTCTAGGTTTTGAGGGCCATATGGTCTACTACTCAGCTGTGCCTTTGAAGTTTCAAAGCGGTCTTAGATGATACATAAACAAATGGGTGTAGCTGTGTCTCAATTAAACTTTATTTACAGAAATAGGTGGTGGGCCCTCAGGCCTTATTTTGCAGACCCCTGAAATACATAATGCAGTGTAATTTGCCCTGTTCATTTGTCACATGAATATTTTCTGAATAATTGTCAGAATTCTTTTTAGTATTTCCATATATTGATGTACATCATTTGCAAAATCATTTTTCTATTAGTGGACGTTTTTATGTTACCCAGTTTCGTTTGTGCTATCATACTAATCTTTATGTTAATATTTTAAGTAGCAGTTTATTGGACTTATTTTTCTTTATGTATATAATTTTCAAAGCTTGGTTACATTCTTAAGAGTAGTTTCATTGTATTCTGAACCAAAAGTTTTTCCATTGGAATATTTCCTTGGTTTTAAAATAGCTTGTGAACAAATAGAATTCAGTGAAGAGAAAGTGTTTTGATATCAAACACTTAATGCATCCATGCTACACAAAGGCCATCTAAATTGTACTATAGCTATCTCATTACAAAGAAATTGAGTAAATTTCCTTCAGCTGCATCCGGACTGTTTTAGACTGCTTTTCCTCTGGAAATTCTCATATCTTGTTTGTACTGTGTTCAGCTAGTCATTAGTTGTTTTCTGTGTATCTTCTCCCTTCCTACCTCCATTGTAAAATCTGTAATTGCAGTGTACATTTGCACTTTGGAGATTACAAAGTACTTTCACATTTTGACACTTTTTCTCACATTGGATATGAATGACAGCCTCTTGGAGGTGAGCCTGCAGCTAGATCTCCAGTATCTTTCAATTTTGAGTCCCTGACTCTGCTCTTCTTTCTCTGACCCCTGCTTCCAAGGCAGGAGCAAGGTTTTCAGAGTTTTCTCTGTGGATATTTATAGTGTTTATACATACAAGAAGGGTTGGAAGTGTTGTGCAGGTTCTGATTTTCTCTTTGTTTACTTTATTCCAGAAATGAAAGTTCATTAGCATCTACCCTGAAGACTCTCCTGTTCTTCACAGCTTTAATGATCACTGTACCCATTGGGTTATATTTCACCACCAAATCTTATGTGTTTGAAGGTAATCCTATTTTTATAGACATATTACTATATTTCATATACTGTGCTTTTATGACATCTTTATAGATGTAAACTGGATATTCTTAAATTTGCTTCTTTTGTCTGATTTGCTTTTCAAATATCACATTGCTCATAATGAGTCTTCATGAAATGAATGTTTTTATTACTCATAGTTACCACAGCCTCACATATTTGTTTATAGTTTTCTGTGAAATAGCTTGCAGACAGATCCTTCTAATATCTCTTTGAGTGTTGATTGACAAGGGAGAAGGATTTGGGGGAATGTGCATTGGGTGGCAGACATTGGAAGGAAGAGGAAATAAAGGCCCCTTTTTTGTGTTAGAGTCCTTAGATGAAGTGATAATTGAAAGTTCTCATTCAAAATAAAGTTTCGCATGTATAGAAGGAATGTATTCAAATCTTTAAATGAATATTTGCTTTATCACCACCCAACATGTTACTTTTTAATTCCCTGACTAATTAAATAAATATATAGCTAATAAAAATTATTATTCTTTGTTTTTTACTTTGATAGATTTTGGAATAAAATGAAAACATTTTTCTCTTGATAGGTGCCTTTGGGATGTCCAATAGGGACAGCTATTTTTATGCTGCTATTGTTGCAGTGGTTGCTGTCCATGTGGTACTGGCTCTCTTTGTCTATGTGGCCTGGAATGAAGGTTCACGACAGTGGCGTGAAGGCAAACAGGATTAAAGTGAACATCTCCTTTTGATAGCATTAAATTGATTTTTTTTAAATGGCAAATGTGTCCAGGATACTGATGATTTCAATAAAGTCGAAAGAACATGTTAAAATCTACCTTAAGGAGTCACATTTGACTAGTGTAAATTTTGATCCTTTTAATACAGTGGTTTGCATCATCAATTTTAACTGTATGAGCCTCACATTTGCAAATGAGAATCTGGAATTAAACTGGTTACAAAGAAGTATGTTTAATTACACATTATTCTGGGAAGAATTTGGTTATTTTACAACAAAAATATTCTATAGAATTTCGTCTTTTAGTTGGTTTGAGTTTTTCTTTTCTGGCTATATTAATAGGCACACAGAGAAACAAATTGAAACTTTATTTTTTGCTGGAGTGCTTTCCTTAACTGTTATGAAAGTACCAGGTTGTTGGATTTTGCGTTGTAAATTCCTATGGAAAATTGCTTAAATTATGGATGCTGGAATTATTTTGAATGTCACTGAGAAATTTCAAATAAAGTGTAATCCCTAGTCAGAAGGAATCTTTCATTACATTATTTCATGGGAAAACTAGGTTGAATTCCACTTATTTTACATGAACTGGTTAATTGAAGGATCTCAATAGCAAAGCAGAGCGAGCTTCCTAGACCCTGGCCTCCTTCCTAAAGGCCCCTTGAAGGCCAGCCTGTGCTTTCAGACCAGTTCTTTAATAATCTGCTTTGCTCTTGTTCAACAATAAAGTTATGCTTTAATTACCAAGTTTGTGTAAATTCCCTTTAAATTTGTTTTTCCTACTGTTTTTATAATGTATATGACAGGAATTTACATTTTAAATGTTTATTTTTGCAAACTTAGGGACTGTGAACGATCTTGAAAATAGAAATAGTTTTTATCATCCAGAAAGTATTCTTAGTATTTCTAGTCTAGTCTTTTTAATCTGACATGTTGTTATTCCCCAGATATGTGTAATTAGATAATCCTTAAGGCCCTTTATGATAGAAAAAGACATTGTGTTTTTATTTTAGTATCTTTAGTATTTGTTCTTTCTAGCCACTTGGTACTACTTGTAGGCAATCTAAAAACACACCTGGAAAAATGCATATTTAAACAGGAAGAAAATTTTAAATTCCCTATAATTTTGCCACCTGGAGATAACCTCTATTTTGGTTTATAGCCTCTGTGCATTTCTTAATGCTAGTTCAGCATTCACTAGAAGTTTGAATTAAGTTTAAATCCAGTCAACTTTTCCTGACAGGTATTTGCATTTTTTCACAGGAGCAATTCGTGGCCATTCTCTTTAAAAAACAAAAAAACAAAACAAAACAAAAAAACCCCAACACATTGTACCTTTATTCTTTTAAGTAGGTATCTCATTGTTTAAGTTTCCTGTTATCGCTAATTCCTGTTTGCCATTACCAATGTGTTCACCCCTATTTTTAATATTGTAGAATTGGATGGATTGAATTCTTGTTTAGTTCAATGTTGTCTCTAGTTTAAAAGTCTTCTTTAAGCAGTTATTCTAAATGTAAAATGTTTTCTTAAAAACAAAAGACTACAGTTTTGGTATAAAATTGTATACATTTAAAAATGAAATTATTAAATCTGGGATACTGGGCAGTTGATTTCTAGAGGGGCCCTTCTTAGATGCCCTTTTGTACTTAGAATTGTTGTCCACCTAATTTCCTTTTCTATAATGCCAAGGTTTTTCTTGTCCTTTTGGGATGTTATGCTACTTGTAAAATATTAATGTCCAATGTTGGATTATTTTGTTTGATTTCCAACATTTGCTGAGTAGATAATGATAGAGATATTTTTCTGCAAGTATTTAAACCAGGGATTCATGCAAAAGCAGTTGTAACTTTCTCTTGGAAAAAGTACTAAGTGTTTGAAATTTAGAACTAGACACTAGGGTTGAGATTTAGGATTATTACAATATAGACTTTTCAAACCAGTTCATAATTTCCTGGGGTTTCAACTGTAAACTCATTAGTTTGCTGCTGTTGAAATAACATGGTATTTGACATATAAATTTATCTTTCACTGGTTTTCTGTTGCACCGTGTACATACTTCAGGATGTATAGAAAGAAAAGCTACAATTGAGCCCTTGTACATGTTTTAAGGTAGGACTATGTTCACTGTTGTTTGAAAACTAATGTTAAGAATAACCTCAATTAGGAAGTGTAACTTGAAATATCAGTACAAACTACTGATTTAACCCCATTTACTGTAACATATTACCTTCCTCACCTTACCTCCCAGTTTGCTCCCCAGAATATAATCTCTTTTCCCCATTGTGCTGAAAACTGAAAAATTTGCTGTAGAATGCTTCTGATGTCATTAGTTCTTCAAATGGATACCATTTTACATGTAGCAGCAAAGTTCAGTTTTGAGTTGTTACTGAAGAAATTTAAACCTTTAATTCCAAAAAAACCCCAAAATCTGTGTTTCCTGGGAATCTGACTGAAATACATTGTAATAATTAGACTATTTTTATCATAAAAATCTCACCAGCTTTGCCGGAAGAGGCAACTGATTGACTTTTTTGGTATTCATTTTCCATTTTCACATAAATTTTATGTATACATCTAGAGTACATAAGAATACCAGTAAAAACAGTTAAAATAAGGTGTGTTCAAGGAAAAATGAGAGCTGAAGGTGCATGAAACAGGATTGAAATCCTGTTTTAACTGTATGTAGTGAGTATTTCTTGCCTCCAGACAAGTTTATGTTTATTGTTTCATGCTCAAATGAAGTTGTAGACTGTTGTTAGGCCCCTTTCATAAATGGTTCAACTATGGTACCAACTTTGTCACTTGTCTTAGGTCAGCAGCAGGTTTCTCTGCTGTCAAGAACTCTGTGTTTTCTACCAGAGTAGTACAACTTTATCATTCAGACTTGACTCATTTTTGCAAGAGCTGGACTGAAGCAGCCTATTAATAACTTGACATGATTTTTATTTCTTTTTTGCAGGGGGAAAGGGTCACCTGAGAAAATAAATTATTTTTAGGGACTTTAGGCACCTAAAGATAAATATTACATGTAATCTATGAATAGCTTAATCCTTTATATATTTATTAAAATAGCCTGGAATTCCTCAATTTACTATCACTCCTGGCCATGCTTTCCTTGCCTGTTTTTCTTGCTACATGTACTTGAAAGTAATATCTACATTTCTTTTAAGATGTTCTACAAGTCATATTTGTCAGTTACACAGACTAGTCTTCCTTTTTCTCAGGTTCAGTGAAATGTCACTGAACAGTAATAATAGCAATAGCTAACAACATCTGCACAGCACCTTACAGTTTGCAAAGAATGTTCACATATTCTCATTTGAGTTATGCTTCGTCAGTCTTTTACCTGATGTCTCTTGACATCAATGCTTAAAAGTGTTAGAATCTCTAAATCACTGGAGTCATTGAATATGCTGTAGTTTTGAATAGTACCCTAACCAGGGGAAGGCTTTAGATGCACTACGGTGAAAGCTGTGTATAGTCATCGAAATGGGGAGCTTGAATTCTTTAGCCACTTGAATCAGATTTTCTTTTGTTAAGTGATGCTTTTTAACCATTATCTGGGTGGATTTTATATTCATTATGTTCTAGCCTGTAATTTGTATCAATTTACCATCTGTTGTCATTAAAAAGGTGTCTGTAATGCCCCTTTGATGTGTCCTGAGTCAATTAATAATAACTCTATTAAAACTCTTTGTTTTTTAACATTTGTTTGCCTCTCTGTTTATACTGTATAGAATATGTACAGAACTGTTAAGGGTACGCTTTTATGCAGTAAATGTAGTCCAGAGATGCTCAAACTGGTGGGGGGCTATGAGGGGTACTTAGGAAGGGCCGGTTAGACTTCACCTCCAATGGGCCATCAGAATTTCTGTGGGACTGGGGAAAAGAAAGCAGCTCCTTGTCCTGTGGCATTTAAGAAAATTCATTCAGGAGTGAATGGCCTTCAAATACGACTCAGTACCTGGTGATGTCCAGCATGCCACCCCTCACGCCAGTGCTCTTGTCCTCTGTCCTCTAGCCACCTGTTGATTGTACTCATTCCAGTTCCTTTCTGTACTTCTGAGGGGTCCAGCTAGTTCTTACTAATAAACCCTATCCACTTCCAAAAAAATTTTGAGATTTTAGTATCAAAATATACAGATTATATACAATTGTATTTATGTTAAAGATAGATTATAAAATGTCCATGAACTCAATATATAGGTAATTACATTGCAGAAACTGCCCAGACGTACTGAATCATAACCTCTGGGGGCAGGGACCAGAAATACCACCCAGCCTGGGTCGCTTACATTTGTAATAGGCTATAATCTGATGCAGCCAAGTTGAGAACTGCTGCTAGAGATCAAGCATTGCGTACATAGATTTTTAATGCTGGACTTGAAGATATTTGTATAAAGCAGGCCTGAAACAGCAGGCACTTTATTTTTTTATTTTAATTTATTTTTTCAAATACATTTGTCTCTGCCTACCCCCCACCAAGCAGGCACTTTATTGGGCAAAGAAAAAGAAATCCTGTATAATGCTATAAGGAAGCTTCAGTTTAAAATCAGGAGACCTTTACTAGATGCCTGACTATCCATATTGACTTTGCTTCACTGTTAATGAATTTCGTTAAATGAAAACTAGTACAGGGGACGGCCCACTTAGAAGTAGCTTAGCCATGCCAAGAAATGGCCATGCTGCCCCTGTGATGCCTTCCCTGTATTTGGAATCCTCACTGCAGCAGTCCTTGGAGAGGGAAAACCTAACACAGTTTCAGTGAATCTGGTTTCCAAAGTAAAGGAAGTAATGGAGCAAACTGGAAATGGTTTCCTAGACATACGTGCTTTTTTTTAAGAGTATGACCTCTGCCTCCAAATATTTTCCCTCTCACTGCTTACATCTTCACACTTCATCTCACATACACCCTGCTGTTTTGCCCATTAAAGGTGCATTTAGGTTGACCCTTTTAGAAAATAGAAGATTCTGGTGGAGAACAGTTGCTCATACCCTGGTGGCTCAGTTGATGTGAGGTGGCCTACCTTTTGCTACAGCATAGTTGGAACTGGAGAGCATTATGTTAAGTGAAATAAGCTAGTCAGTGAAAGACAAATGGCATACAATCTCACCTATCAGTGGAACCTAATCCACAAAAGAAACTAATGAGCAAAATAGAACCAGAGACATGAAACATGGAACAGACTGACAGCTGCCAGAGGAAAAGGGGGAGGAGGGAATTGTGGAAAGAAGGGGGAGGAATCAGTCAAGGAGCATGCACAAATGACCTACGGACATGGACAATGGTGTGAGAACTGACTGTGGGAACGGGGTGGGCAGGGTGGAGGAAGGCAAAGGGGAAAAAAAATTGGGACAGCTGTAATAGGATAACAAAAACATAGTCACAAAGATGTAAAGTACAGCGTAGTCAATATAGTCAATAATATTGTAATTACTATGTATGGTGCCTGGTAGATACTAGACCTATTGGGGGGAATCACTTTGTAAGGTATGTAAACATTTAATCACTATGTTGTACACCTGACACTAATGTAATACCGTGTGTCAAGTGTAATGAAAAATAAACTTTAAGAAAACTTGAAATTTAAAAATATTCGCAATAGAAAATGAAATTGTTTGGGGGGCTGTGAAAATGAAATCTGTTTACATTTATTTTCATCCTCACCTGAGGACATTTTTATTGATTTTAGAGAGAAAAGGTGAGAGAGCGAAACATCCATCAGTTACCTCCCATATGCACCCTGACCAGGGATCAAACCCACTATCTTTTTGATCCAACCAAGTGAACCACCCAGCCTGGGTTGCTCACATTTTTATGTTCCCTTTCTTTCCTAAAACTTGGATGTACAACAGACTTAATGCAACACACCTTTTTTCCCCTCGTATTTCTGCTGCTTCTAGCTAGAGACATAGTCCTCACCCTCTACCCTTGGCTTACTCCTCCCTCCAAACCTACCTAGAACCAAGTAGAATTAAGATTAAACATTGAGCGGGAAAGGAATAGAAAAATCAGTAAAATGGAACAAGCAGAAATTAAACCAGTCCGTCCAGCTTGACTTGGCAAAAGGGTCTGGTAAGGATTTCCAGCTGTGGTAAACATAATTTGAAGATATCCCCGAGTCCCACTGCCTGGTATACAAGCCTTTTGTGTTCCCCACCCCTTGGATATGGATGGAACCTGTGAAAATGATGGGAGAGTAGCTTCCCTGATTTGGTTACTGTGTTGGTGTGTTTGAGCTGCCATAACAAAATAACACACACAAAACCACATAGCTGAAACAACAGGAAACTTCTTTTTCATGGTTGTGGAGGCTGGAAGTCTAAGATCCAGATATTGGCAAGGTTGATTTCTCCTGAGGCCTCTCTCCTTGACTTTTCAGATGGCCGTCTTCTCACTGTGTCCTCACATGGTCATCCTTCTGTGTGCATCTATGTGTCCTAACCTCCTTTTCTTAAAACATCACCAGTCATATTGAATTAGAGCCCACCCTAATGACCACGCTTTTGTGTGTGTGTTTTTGTTTTATTTTTTTAAATTTTATTGTTCAAGTATAGTTGTCTCCATTTTACCACCACCACTTTCCTCTACCCCACCAACCCCTACCTCCCACCCTCAATCCTTCCCCTCTTTGCCTTTGTCCACGGGTCCTTTATCCATGTTCCTTGACCACCCTTCCCCTTCTTTCCCCTGTTATCCCCCTCCCTCTTCCCCTCTGGTTACTGTCAGTTTGTTCTTTATTTCAGTGTCTCTGGTTCTATTTTGCTTGCTTGTTTGTTTTGTTGATTAGGTTCCACTAATAGATGAGATCATATGGTATTTGTCTTTCACCACTTGGCTTTTTTTGATTTAGCAGAATGCTCTACAGTTCCATCCATGCTGTGGTGAAAGGTAGGAGTGTTACTGAACAAATGGACCCCTGGGGAAGAGGGGTGCCCAGATGCTATTACCGAAACAACAACCACCCCGCTTCCCTGGGGTACCTCGGGTGTAGGTCCTTTGTCCCCCGCCCTTGGAATTATGGCTCTGAATGGCAGAGTTGGGTGAAAAGGAAAGGAACTATCTATTCAAAAGTTATACAGGTTTGATTAATGGCTAAGTGTCGCCCTTAAACCTCAAAATCCCTTTAAAACAATCACCAGCCACACAGTCCTGCCTTCCCCCCTTTGCCCAGTTAGGCCAGTCGGGCCTGTCCGGGGTACCATCCTTCAGAAGGAAAAGAACTGAAGTCCGGGGCTCGGCTAGGCAGGTCTCTCGCGGTTCTCAGCACCATCCGCTGTGTCGCCCCGATCTCCAGCTCTTAATCCATAACCATGTGGCACCTTCTGGCCCACTAGCAAGAGTCCTTTCTCCCCTCTTTCTTCCCACGTGGTCTTCACACTGTTCCCCAGAGCCTATGTCTCTCTCTCTCTCCCACAAGCCCCTGTCTCTCCTTCCTCTCCCAGTTACATTCTGCATTAAGTCTTTCAAACCTTCCTGATTAGCCTTGGTGATATGCAAAATAACCCTCTTTGCATATGAGGAATGAAGCTATCCTGTTACTGACATGCAAAGTGACTCTCAATGGCGGCCCACCCTGGGGTGGGGAGAATATATTTTTTCTGGACACCCCAATCTCTGGACCCCATCACAAGTACCCCCTGGAGGGGCCTGGCTATGCCCCATTACAGGAGCTCATTCTTTCTTTCTGCTATGCAGTGTTCTATTGTGTAAATGTACCACAGTTTTTTGATCCACTCATTTATTGATGGGCACTTAGGTTGCTTCCAGAACGTGGCTATTGTAAATTGTGCTGCTATGAACATTGGGGTGCATAGGTTCTTTTAAATTGCTGTTTTGGGATTCTTAGGTTATAATTCCAGCAATAGAATTGCTGAGTCAAAAGGCAATTCCATTTTTAGCTTTTTGAGAAAATTCCAAACTTTTCCACAGTGGCTGCACCAGTCTGCATTCCCACCAACAGTGTACTAGGGTTCCCTTTTCCCCACAACCTTGCCAGCACCCATTGTTCGTTGATTTGTTTATGATGGCCATTCTGACTGGTGTGAGGTGGTATCTCATTGTGGTTTTAATTGCATCTCTCTGATGGCTGATGATGCTAAACATCATATGTCTCTGGGCCCTGTGTATGTCCTGCTTGGAGAAGTTTCTGTTCAGGTCCTTTGCCCATTTTTTAACTGGATTGTTTGTCCTAGAGTGGAGTCGTGTGAGTTCTTTATATATTTTGGAGATCAAACCCCTGTCTGAGGTATCATTGGCAAATGTATTTTCCCATATGGTTGGTTTGCTTTTCATTTTGCTGATGATTTCTTTACCCGTGCAGAAGCTTCTTATTTTGATGTAGTCCCATTTATTTATTCTTTCCTTTATGTCCCCTGCTCTAAGGGCCATATCGGTGAAAATATTGCTGCGTGGGACATCTGAGAGTTTCCTTTATATGTTCTCCTCAAGGACGTTTATGGTGTTGTGACTTATATTTAAGTCTTTTATCCATCTTGAGTTTATTTTTGTGCATGGTATAAGTTGGTGGTCAATATTCAATTTCTTGCATATAGCTGTCCAGATCTCCCAACACCATTTGTTGAAGAGGCTATTTTTACTCCATTTTATGCTTCTGCTCCATTTGTTGAATATCAATTGACCATAGAGACATGGATTTATTTCTGGGCTCTCTATTCTGTTCCATTGATATATGTGTCTGTTCTTATGCCAGTACCAGAGTGTTTT